GTGCTCGTAATGAAATGGTTATGTTGATATCTTGCTTGCATGCTTGAGTATTTAAATTTTCTCGTACCTTTGTCAATCGGATCTATCTTATTATGATTTTTATTTTGATTCCTTCTAGTCCGTTATTAGTCAAATGTTTGCTCCATTAGGTGTTAAATCAAATTTTCGTTCTATCTTTCGCATTTGCTGATGGGCGGTTTAGATAAATCAGATATTAGATCATGTTTAGTTTTTACAATTGAACGGCATGTTTATGTGTTTAGACTCTTCTTATGCAGCCATCGAGGGCATATTTTACATTCTTGAAGTCTTATTCAACAATCACATTGTGTTTATATTAAATTTGGATACAAATACTTTCATGCATATAGTGGTAGTTGACACATGAACAACAAAAAACCGAGCCAAATAGCAAAACAAACCCGAAAAAAGCAAAAGAAAACAACACCATGCCTTTATTACACACACCCCCTCACAATTATCGAAACCGTACAACCACCCTCTCAAGTCTATGAAAAAAATGTCCTAATAAAATATCTGAATCGTAATTTGAGATTTGTTAGGAAGTAATTTGAAGTAACCTCTCGTGAAATTAATATGTTGTTTAGTTGATGAACTTTTGTTCTATACTTTTTTGCTATCAATATCCTTTGATTATTTTTATTCTATACATGTTTGCATTGTTATATACCTTTCAGTTGCTTTTATGATTTTAGGACCTTAGTTTGATTATTTTTTTTAAACATATTAGGGTGGTTTAATCATTCAACTCAAACAATGCATCACTATTTCCATGAAATGTTACAAGCAATACTAAAGTTTGCAAGAGAAATGATTGTACTTACTACATTTTATGCAAATTTAAGTCAAGTTCAACATCATCGTTGACTTTGCCAAGTATTTCGGGTTTTATATTTAACTTTTTATTTCTAATTTTATTGATTTGTGTATTTTAAAATTAATTAATTTTTATTTATTTATTTGTAAGGTGTTATAGGAGCCCTTGATGAGACTTTAATTCGTGTTGTTATATCATCCGATCAACATGTCCTATATAGAGGGAGAGAACGAGGAGATTGCTATCAAAATTTTCTTACAATATGTGATTTTGACATGATTTTTACTTTTGTTTGAGCTGGATAGGAAGGTGTAGCATATTATTCAAGAATATTAACATAAACTATACGTGACTCATCAAATAATTTTCTCATCCCTCCACTTAGTATGTTGTTTCTATTCTTATTAAATTCTTTTTAGAGAAAATTACCTAATTTTTTTTTTTTTACGTTATTACTAGTTGTATTATGTCAATAATTCTTACATTTTTCATGCAATTTATTAGATTAATATTTGATGATAAATAAATATTATCTTTGTGATATTGCATTTGTGCATGCTAGAGGATTTATAGCACCATATTGTAATAGACGATATTGGTTATCCGATTTTCGTTATGGTCATTATCCAAGATTTTTTCTTAAAAAAAGAAGAAGAAGAAGCATTTAATCATGTACATACAAAATTAAGGAATGTTATTGAACGAGCATTTGGTGTTTTAAAAACAAGGTTTTCAATTTTAAAAACAATGGCTCCATTTCTATTTGCAATTCAGGTGAGATATTATGATTGCATGTGTTACAATACATAATTATCTTTGAAAAAAAATAGTCATTGATAACTTTTTTGAATAATTTGATGACGATTATGTAATGCATCAAAAATCAAATGTTGCTCGTAAATTTACAATTCACTGGAAGAGGGATACAAGCACGAGCCGATCAAACATTTATGATTAATTTGCCAAACCGAATTGCAAATGAATTAATTAGTGCTTGAGATTTTATTTATTTTGTGCATGATACAGCAATTAATGCTATCTTATATCGTATTTAAATTTTTTTTTATTAATAATCATTTTTATTGGATTTTATTTATACACACAAATACATCTATGTATATATTTTTATTTGTGTTAAAAAATATCATGTTACAATTATAAGGTTAAAATTATCATGTATATATAGTCTTAACATGTTCGGCTCCAGTATTTATCAACCAAGCTTATTATATTTAGTATTTAATTTTCACTAAATACCAAACAGTTTATTAGCAATATATTCAGTACTTAATAGATTTAGTAATTAATTTTTAGTTTTATCAAACCCCACCTTGGTAGGAATGGTAACGGTGGATACTCGATTTATTAATTCAATTTTTTTTATCATATTTATAAAAAGAATACTCTATCATTTATCTACTAAACAATCATCATAAAAATCTTTATTCCACTTAGACTTTGTCCACATTAATTAACTCGCTCATTTAGTATCCATTTAATACTTCTAAAAATAATTTGTCAAAAATATTTCATTCCAATCTCTCGTAGTTTTTAGTAAAGTTTTTTATCCTTAAAATTAAATTTTTTTCTACTTGTTGATCATTCATATTATAATTTTCTTTTGGTTCTTATCGTTTTTTAAAAATATTTTGGTCCTTAATTTTTAAAATTTATGTAATTAAATCTCTGCATGTTTCAAAAAAATAAAATTAAAATAATTAGTTGGTATTAATAGGATAAGTAGTTGATACTTATATCCTGGAATCATATTAGTGAGTATGTATTCTTACTTTTACTCATTCTAATACCCATTAAATGTTTTTAATAAACATTTATTGAATCGGATAAAACAGATACTTATTTTATATCTAGCCATTGCCATCTCAAAGCTTAAGAGGACCGTTCATTGAGATGTGGTTTTTCTGCCTGTGATGTTTGTCTTCAAGGAGAGAGGTCTCTTTCTAGCTTTTTGGTTGATTTTTGTAATATTTGATTGATTTTAGTCCTTTGGTGTATACTAATATATATTTGCATTTGCACAAAAAATTTGGTCAAAATTTATATTGTATGGAAAAAATCAGTCCATGTAATTTATTTGGACTAAATAGCATTAACTTTTAATGTGATAACCAATTATAAATTTGGACATGTTTAAGAAATAAAAAAAATACTAATTTCTTTTCAAAAAATAAAAATTTTCAAAATGCTAATATTTTTTAAATAAAATTTCAAAATTTTTGACATGTAAGAATTTTCAAAAGTACTCAGTCATTAAAATGTTTTAAAACGTATAAAAAATAAAAAATACTTTTAATAAAAAGAAAATACACGGGCCAGAAAATTAAAAACATCCAAAATAACTCCCATAGACCAACCCAACTTCGAAAAAAGCTCAACACTGGAATTTTGTAGGAATGAAAGGATGGGAAGGAAAGAAAAGAATAAAAAATAAGGAAAAGAGAGCATGAAATCCTTGATTACGTAATTTGCTAGAATGGTTGACATGTCTGCAGTCAATATGACTTGTCAACATTCACTCACTTCGCCCATTTCCTAGTACTACAAGTACTCGAATTTCCACGTGCGCTGACTAAACACAACCTGTAGACTCCAATGTTTTCATTTTCCCTTACCCCTTGTTTGGATAGCGAGGAAAGAAGCGTTTTCCTCCGTTTAGTTTGGAGAGAAAAACACTAAAAATATATATATATATTAAACAAATATGAAATTGATGAAACCTATTTTCCTCCGAAAATTAGGAGGAAATTGAGAGAAAACCGTGATGCATATAATTTTTTTTTTCATTCACATTTTTACTCTTGCCCCAAACGTCCCCCTCCTTCTCTACTCTTCGCTAACAAAACAGATCCGCAAAACAATCCATTCACAGGGTAAGCTGAAAAGATATTAAACCTCTTTCACTTGGGAAAGCTACCTTTCACGGGATGAGATTGCCCCACTCTCTTGATTGCTTCTCGGACTTTGTTGGCTGCTTTCTTATAACTGGAAAGAGTGGTGGAAGAGCCCTCCCTATCTGAAGAGAAGAAATCCCTACTCTCGCTTTAGATCAGTGAAGAATTTAAAGGCATGGGCAACAATTACTGAAAGGGAGAGTTTTCCTGTCCTTAACGCATTGAACGTGGGACATTGCCTCATGTTTGACAATGGCCCACGATCATGTAACTCTCTTGACAAACGTATTAAAAAAAAAAAAAAAAGAAAGAAAGAAAGAAAAAAAGACCACTATATATATATATATATATATATATATATATACACGTGTTGGTTAAATATAAAAAATAAAATAAAATAATTTTTTTTTCTAATTTTACAAGTCTTTTTCTTATTTAACTCTTTTTTTTAAATTTATTTATTGTTAAGTTATGCTAAAGCTATTTATGGGCTGAATTTATAGTATACATCCAATCAATCTACTTCTCCATTTTACGAGCATAAAATCTCAAATCATCATATAGATTTAAACGCAATCACATTGACATATAATATATTTTTCTCGCATACTATCAATTCCATTGATATATCATTATGATTTTTATCTTAAAAAATTATTCTCAATTATCATTAATTATTTCTTCATTATCTCATAAAGTTAATGATATTCTCAATCATTAAATTTTGATTTTTACTATTTATTGTAAGTCTGAATATTATGAAAACTATTTAGCTCATCTTCTCTGTCAACAAGACAACATCAAAACTGAAATTCTCAATAAAAAAAATAACGCTGATTAGTAAACCTACTCACCTAAAACTTTAGGTTTTTAAAATGAAGCTGCCCAACACTCTCCCTGTCTATGTTATCTCGTTACTAATTGTTAACTCCATATCAATTACATGTTATTCATTCAATACTTTCCAAAGAGTGTAGGGACATTGTTGAATCCAATGCCACTGCTTGCAATCAAAATCGATAATGTTTGACTAGCTACATATTTATTTTGTGTAGGTTAACAAAGCAAGCAATGAAATTTTGTTCGAGGGAAAAAATTATTAATCTAACAAAAAAATGATGATCATAACTGAGCTATGGATAAAATTAAAATATAAGAAGATAAATGATTAATTTTTAAAATGATAGGAATTAATTAATTTGTTTCTCAAATAAGAGGGACTAATTTATAATTTACTCTATATGGGCCAGAAAAAACATCCGAACTCCAATACACTTACCCAACCTTGACGGAGTCCAACGCTAGCATCTCCCTAGAAAGACCTGGAATCAACTGTACAGAAGGAGAAGGAAACGAAAAGTCGATAAAGAAGGGAGAGCATGAAGTCCTTGATTACGTAATTCGCTACAAGGCTTGACATGTCTCTGTCATGCAGTCAATAGGACAACTCTAGAAAACCGGCCACGTTAACTCGCTCCAGCCATTTCGTACTACAAATACTCGCATTTCCACACTGACAGAACACAGCCTTTGTAGTCCAAGAAAACAAAGAGAAAATACTTTTATTTCAAGCTGCCCCTTTTTCTCTTCAAGAATGGCCGGTGATCAAGTGACCCTGTTGGACTTATGGGCAAGTCCTTTTGGTATGAGAGTGAGAATAGCATTGGCTGAAAAGGGTGTAAAGTATGAGTACAGTGAACAAGATTTGAGGAACAAAAGTGCTTTGCTTCTTCAAATGAATCCTGTTCACAAGAAAATCCCCGTTCTTGTCCATAATGGGAAACCTGTATGTGAGTCGCTTATTATTGTGCAGTATATTGATGAGGTGTGGAAAGATAAGGCTCCTTTGTTGCCTTCTGATCCTTACCAGAGAGCTCAGTCTAGATTCTGGGCTGATTTTGTTGACAAGAAGGTATGACTTTTTTGTTTTTGATTTTCTATGTTGATTTTGTTTTTGAGGTATGACTTGATTAAACCCAAATCCAATTTGACCCGTTTGAAAGAATTTGAATTTTATATGACCAAATTTTAAAATTGAAAAACATTTGGCGGATTACTAGTACAATTAGCACTGAGAATAATATCAAACTTAGATATTGAATGGTGGAAAGTATGTCTGATGTTCATTTCAAGCGTTGTTGGCTGTGAATTTTTTATTTTTGATGTTGATAACAAATTGGTCATTAAGGTTTCTAATTATTTCGTCCTTTTATGAACTATATTTTCATTCTTGTGAGTTCATGAGAATTTGAGGTTGGCGGGATGTTTCTCTGTAAAGATCACCAAATGGGTGGTTCCAGCTGCTTTAAGATATAGCAAGAAGGCTTACAAAATGTCATTTTTTATGCATTGAAGATAGGTAGGATTTTGGATCTAGGTGGGGATGCTTTTGTAAATATTGGTAAGAGAGTTATGATGGAAGTAAAGGTTATTGACTTATTGGTGTTTAGTCACCGTCAAGTATCCAAAAATATATGATTGATAGTGACAACATTGCAGTTTTCTTATTGGTGGACTTTGCTAGATTGATTGGAAAAAAAAAGGGCATAATTAAGGTGATGAGCTCTCTTGTTAATTCGTTTTCTTTTCCTCAAATTAGCCTTGTTTAATTGGTTAGTTTGTGCTCTCAAAGATTAGGAAGAAAACTAAAACAATTGGGATGTTCACTCCTCATGACTGTTCATTTACTGTAATTTGATATTTTTGTGTTTTTTTGGATCTTTGTAGGCAATGATATGAAAATTATATAGCTTTTTACATTTTGATCTTTGATGTTTTTAAATTTTTTGTTTCGATCCATATTTTTATTTATTGATATATTTTGGTCCTTGGGTATAGAGAGGAGTAAGAAAAGAGAGAGAGAGAGAGAGAGAGCATCGGCTAATCTTTATTTAAGCCACTTTAGTCGGCGAAACTTTATTAGACTTTTTATTTTTGAGAAATGAGTTTATATATAGTGGTTTTAAGCCATGAAATAATTGAAGGATGTAGATCGACACCGAAAAAAGATAATTCTGATTTGATTTTTTATTTTATTTTAATATGCATTAAAATAAATTTTAAGATTTTAAAAGTGTTTATTGACTTTATTTCGATTACTTAGAGGTGTTTGGGGAAAAAATAATGTTGGAATTGAGTTTCTTAGGGTTTGAAAATTGATCGTGATTTTTCAACGAAACTTTCGTCGAGCTTGAGTTTGTCAAAAGCTATAAGTTTTTTCTTTTTTTTGGGCTAGCCAACAATCTTGGCGCACAAGCCAGAGTAACCTTAGCCTGGATCGTAGGCTTGCACACGTAAGCTCGCACATGTAAGCCCAACTACGTTAGGTCTGGGCTGAGCTGGCTGCACATGCCTGACCTTTTTTCCTTTTCCTTCAAATAATTTATCTTTATATTTTTTATCATGAAATTAGGTGTGAAAATATAAAAAATAATTCGTTATTGTTTTTAATTTTATGTACAGTTTGAAGTAATAGAATATATATGATATTTTTTAAGATATATATATTACTCTTATTGTTTAAAATTTATTTCTTAAATTATTTATTTCTTATTAAAATTCTCATCAAATTAACTTTTTAATTTTTTGATATAATTTTATTTGTTAATAAATTTAGTTTTTTGTAAATGAATTTTGAAATAAAATTTTAGAATGTGATCATTTTATTTTTTAAAATATATTATTATAATTTATACGATTGATTATTATTATAATTTTTAAATGAGAGTAGCGTAGTTGTATATACAAATTATAATGAGAGAGAGTAAAAGTGTGTTGTAGATAATTTAACTTAATTTTTTTAAAAAATAATAAATAATCAATTAAAAAAGTAATTTGACTCAAATTTTTTAAAATAATTTAATAATTAGTTAAAAAAATTCACAAGTTTTATTTATATATATATATATATATATATAGAATTTATTGAAACTAATTTTGTAGTAGTTTTTTTTAAATTCTATTCACTTCAATATTTCATGCGATTTAGGTGAATTTGTTTTGTATATTTTATTTATTTATTCTATATATTCGAATTTGCTAAGTGTGTGTGTATATATATATATATATATATATATATATATATATATATATATATATATATATAACTTTGTTAGAAATTAATTATATATCCGTACGAGATAACATCAATTATTTGTTATTTATTTTTTTATCTTTTAAAATTTGTATTTTTAAGTAAAATAATTTAATTAATGTTTTGAAAGAACCTCTCAATTATTCAAATATAAATTTTTATGCTAATATTATTAATTATTTTGTTAATAAATATACATATAAATCAAACAATTTCGCTCAATATATAGATTCGATTTATATTAATAACTAGAAACAAAACCTTTTATGCACATCACATCATATGAATTATTAACCTTACGTATATAACGGTTGTCACGTAACATTGTGTGACTTACGTATAACGGTCGATCGTAACATTGTGCGAGTATCTTAACTAGTTCGATCTATTTTTATTAGTCACTTTTAAGGTAGAAAATTGAAAGATGTTAGACGGCATCTTTGATGCCAAATTAGCTGTCTTCGAATTTCCATCTTCTGTAACAGTGATTGGTTTTGCTTTTCTGAATGTGTAGAAAGAAATTAATTACTGTAGTTAACATGGAAGTTTTAGTAAAGACTTTGTTCTTGGGACCACCTTCGAACCTTTGTGGTTCCAAGAAGTCTATGTTTGCTTACCATGTATAATGATTTGTTTTAAAATGGTGGGATATGAATCTGCAGATATATGACATTGGAAGGAAGATATGGACAACAAAAGGAGAAGATCTGGAGGCAGCCAAGAAGGATTTCATTGACTGCCTGAAGTTGTTGGAAGGAGAACTTGGAGACAAGCCTTACTTTGGAGGCGATACCATTGGCTACGTTGATGTAGCACTTGTTCCTTTCTATTGTTGGTTTTATGCTTATGAGACTATCGGCAACTTCAACATAGAGGCCGAGTGTCCTAAGCTGATTGCTTACTGTAAGAGATGCTTGCAAAAAGAGAGTGTATCCAAGTCTCTTCAAGATCCACAGAAAGTCTGTGATTTCATTGTGATGCTGAGGAAGAACTTGGGGGTTGATTAATGTGCATCCATAGCCAAGCAAGCGTGATTTCCTGTTAACAGTTGCTGTACTTGTGTTCTGTCCGATTTATGTTTTCAATAAGGAGGGCACTATTTACTTGTGCCTGTACTGTGTCTTATAGTTTGAGAGGGCACTATTTACTTGTGCCTGTACCGTGTCTTATAGTTTGAGAGGGCACTTAATTGTGCTCGACTTAGGTTGTGGTTTTTTCTTCCTGTACGTCTGATGTTTGTTTGCCAGACAGGTCTCTTTGTAGCCCCTTAGTTTCTTCTTGTAACAGGTTGTGATAATCGATAAATAGACATTTATAATGAAGTTTGTGTCCAAATCTAACTAGCTGAGTACAATAGAACTTTCCGCATTTGTTTGTTCGTCTGTTTTTTTTTTTTTTTTAACCTTTTCCTCCAATCTGCATTCATGATCTTAGGTCCTACAAATGAGCTGTTGGCTGTGACCTATCGTGCCTTGTATATTTTGCTAGAACGTTTTGAGCTTGCACTTTAAGGCACTGCAGAGATTAGGGCAAACGGTCTTTTTCCAAATTTCATGTGAATGGTCGGAACTCATTTTTCACCTAAAATCTTTGGATTTTAGCCATCTATCCTCCTCTTCCTTTCAAAAAGTTTTGCAAGTTGATTATAAAAGAAGGGAAAAACGAGCCATTTGGAGTCTATATAGGTAAGTAAAAGTTTAACTTCTAATTAAAAATAGATGCATAGCAAAAACATTTGAGTTTGTGTGAAGAATAGAAATTCTGTAATAACTTTCTCTTTCTTCTTTTGCATGAAGGGAAATGTTTTATTCTTTGAGGGGACCTATCCCATAAATTAGTGCGCAAAAAGCTTTTGCACCAGGACTTGAGCACTTCCCAGAAGCTACAACCATGTACAGCTCGAATAAAAAATAAAGATAAAAAGCCTCAATTTAATCCTAAGCTTACGTACTCACTATCAATTGAATCTTAAATCTATAAATTTTATCACTTAGGTCTCAAATGTTTTAATTAAAAACATTTTCAATCAGGTCTTTTGTTGATGCTCGTCAACGTTATTTTTTAAATCTTCTTCAAATTGATGCTATTTTGGTGCATAAATAATCACTTTAAATAAAAAAATGTTAATGTTGAATAACTTTTTTGTCAAAATAACATCATTTTAGGACATGAAATATGCAAATTAGAGTTAAAGTATCAACAGAAATTGACAAAAGCGCACACAAGCGTGAAATGCAAGAAATGTTTGAGATCGAAGTGATAAAAGTTATATATTTGGGATGCAATTGAGAATTAACATATACGTTAAGACTAAGTTGAGATTTTGCCAAAAAAAACAACAATGTAGTACGTGGCAGCCCAGAGGCCGTTCAATCAATGATAGTCAGCAAATCACCACGTGGATCTGTTTAACGTTGACCATGCTAGATCTGTTGGACATTAGGGAAACTCTTGCACAGGCGGCCCCACCCTTGCCCTTGGAGGATTGTGGTTTGAAAGCATTCTATCCCAACAAAAATATCATATTTTCTCTTTGGTCCTTTTAAGTTTTCTCGTTTTGAAATTCATCCTTATATTTTTAAATTTTAACACTCATTTCTAAAGAAATCCTAACCCCACTCTTGCGTAGGAGGTAAATATGATGTGAAATTGGTAGTGGTATCGGCTATGACAAAATTACAATTATTCAATTTTTTTTGTTTTTGAATAAAAAACAGTTCAAAGATCAAAGAAGCTACCATAATGATGAACATAAGCATGAATATGGGGTGAATGGTTGCATGGTTCTTTTATATATATTTTTTTATTTCGTCATTATCTATCGTGTTTTTCTATTTATTTTTGTTTTAAATTCATTTTTTATGTTTGATTTTTATTTTAATCGTGTCCTTTTCTTAAGTTTTTCTTTCGACGTAAACCGATTATTGAAAAAACTCACTTGTGCATAATTTTAGAATTTAAAGTTAGTTCCAACACTATTGAGGTTGGAAATGGTGAGGAGCTTGACCCATCATGGATCTAAATTCTAATCAAGAAATCACTTCCTTTGTTTAGAATAGAAATTTGCAATTTTAGTATTTACGAAGTGTAAGACCTAAGATGTATGAACTGCAACAAAGTTTAGAAGAAATGATTTGAGTTTCTTCTCCATTTCAAGATACTCTTCAAACCTAGTTTTCGACTTCCTCTCCATGCCTTTTTTTCGTTTCACTATTTGCCAACGAGTATGATTTCATTTTCATTTCCGTTGGAACGTTCTTTTTCTCTAGACTTTGATTTCTCCTCGAGTTAGCATTTTCTTGTATGTCTTCTTTCTCTTTCAAATTGTTTGATTTCTTCACATATTTCGGCTTTGAATTTCTAAATTTTCTCTTAGTTTCTTCGAATCGTGCTCCGTTTCGAAATGGTCGTAAATAAATTTATGATAGCATAAATTACATAAAACCGTAACCACACAAAAATAAAACAAAGGCAACTCGCTTAAACTAGAATACCCGATGCTCGGATCCAAGATTCATTTTTTTTCTCGCTTTGCCATTTTTTGCCCTTTTCGGCTCGACTTCTCATCGGGCCCCGCCCCTATGATGAGAATCAAACCCAAATTATCCATTTTCGTTAATCATAAATCATACAAAACAAAGAATATATATATATAGGAAAATCAACGGATACAACAAACCAAACTTAATCGGGACTTACTCATTATTCCAAATTAAATTTCCCACCCAAAAGATCTCGCTAAAAAAAATAATACAAAGTTAAAAGTGCACATACAATACTTAGTGACTCATGAGATTCCATCACTAACTTAACTATAAAAGACTTAAAAAAACAACCAAATTATTTTAACAACCTATGTTTGGTTGGAAAAAAAACCCAAAGAATGATATCATAGGCTTTTTTTTTTTTTCCTTTTGTTTTCCTAATGTTCAAACAACGAGGCGCGTTTTGGATGGAGGCCCTTGGCCCGTTCTCAATGTTCCTCTTTTAAGACTCGTTTGTTTGGAAGAAAACAAATTTCAAGAACTTGTTTTTCTTATTTTTTATTGTTTGTTTCGTATTTAGAAGAAAAGTTAACGAAAAATTATTTTCGATCAATGAAAAATGATAGAGTATTTTTGAAAAAATATTTTCCTACTTTCAAAAGAAGAAAACAATTTTCTTCTTATGAGCTATCTCGCTCTCGTATTACTTACCTTTTTCTCGATATATTTTAAAGTTTTTTCAAATATTTATGATTAATTTGCGATATCAAATTACAAATGAACTGATTAGTACTTGAAATTTTATTTACTTTGTACATGATACGACAATTAATGTTATCTTAGACTATGTTTATTTTTTATTAATATTAATTTTCATTGAATTTTCATTTATTTATTTATACGCATGTATATATTTTTATTTTTGTTAAAAATATAATTATAATGTTACAATTGTAAGGTTAAAATTATCATATATGTAGCATTAATATATTCGAGTGACGATACTTATCAATCAACTTTATCATATTCAACACTTAATTTCAGTAAATACCAAATAGCTTGTCGACAACATTTTCGGTACTTAATTATTCAAGACTTAAAATTCGAGTACTTAATTTTCGGTTTTATCAAACACCAACTAAGTAGGAATGGTAAAAAGTGGATACTTGATCCATTAATTCAATTTTTTTTATCATATTTATAAAATGAATACTCTATCCATTATCTACTAAAAAATCATCATAAAAATCTTAATCCGGTTTAGACTCTATCCACATTGGTAACTTGCTCATTCGAGTATCGATTTAATACTTCTAAAAATTATTTGTCAAAAATATTTCATTTTAGTATGTGTAATTTTTAATAAATTTTTTTATCCTTAAAATTTAATTTTTTTTATCCATTTTGGTCATTTATATTATAAAATTTTTGGTTCTCATTTTTTTTAAAAATATTTTGGTCCTTAATTTTTAAAATTTATGCAATTAAATCCCTGCATATTTAAAAAAATTAAAATAAATTAGTTGGTGTTAATAGGGTAAAGAGTGAGTACTTATATCTTGAAATTATGTTAGTGGATATGTATTTTTTAATTACTTTAATATCCATTAAATATTTTTAATAAATATTTACCGAATTAGATAAAATGGATACTTATTTTATATTTGGCCATTGCCATCCGAAAGTCCGAGAGGATAGTTCATTGAGATGTGGTTTTTCCGCATGTGATGTTTCTCTTCAAAGAGAGACGTGTCTCTCTCTAGCTCTTTGGTTGATTTTTTTAATATTTGATCGATTTTATTCTTTTGGTGTATAATAATAAATATTTTCATTTGCACAAAAAAATTGTTCAAAATTTATATTGTATTTGAAAAAATTATTCAATGTAATTCATTTGGACTAAATAGCATTAAATTTTAACTTGATAACCAATTATAAATTTAGACATGTTTAAGAAATAAAAAAATAATTTCTTTTCAAAAAATAAAAATTTTCAAAATGCTAATACTTTTTTAAAATAAAATTTCAATTTTTTTGACAAGTAAGAATTTTCAAACATACTCCCGATAGGGATCCAACAACTGCCGTGTCTATCCTTAGACAACCTGTCGTGTCTTATCCTTCACTTTGTATATATCAAGTAGTGTCTCCTACTCTCAATAGAAGTTGTATATGTATACATTCGAGTCCGTCTTTGCTAGTAGTCCGTCTCTGCAAGTAGTCTTCTATTTTGACTATAACTTTGTAAACTATAAATAGAGATCTTTAATAAACAAGCAATTATCTTTTGATCACACATAAATCTTTTATGGTATCGTAGCATTAAGAGGTTTAAAAACCCAGCCACCAAACAGACTTAAACAAACCCTTCCTCACATACCAAGCACGTACCACACTTGTTTTTAAATAGCAACGAACGTACCAGCTCGTACCCTCCTCGCGTACCGGATACGGTTCACTTGTGTGCCGGCCCCACACACACAGCGAGCCTACTACGTGCTAGCCAATAACCTTTGCTAATTCCTCCTCTTTTTTTACAACTCCACTCATCCATGGCCGACTCGGCTTCAACCCAAACACCACCTTCCCAAACACTAAGCACTCACCATGCCCTATAGCCCGCACCCCAAAACACCACCTACCCCAACATAACACCTCACTTATCCATCAAATCGACATCCGCAAACTACCTCCTATGGAAACACAACTTTTGCCATTATTAAGAAGACATAAGCTTGCGTATCACATTGATGGCAGCCTTCCATCACCCACCATAACGAGACCCAAACTACTCGATCGGTACACACAAGATCGGCTTGTTTTAAGCTGGATCATCAACTCTTTCTCGACCAATCTTCTCACGTAATTAGTAGGAGTTAACACTCGCACGTGAAGCTTGGAACAAACTTACCATTGTGTACTCCTCGGGCTCTAGAACTCAAGTGTGTCAACTTCGCACTAGCTCGATTGAACTCTCATAAAGGAATGATGACATCCCAACCTAGATGCGATGGGCTAAGGAAATTTCGGATCGCCTTGCATCACTATAGCATCCCATTCCGGAAGAAGACCTAGTGGACTATATCCTACGAGGTCTAGGTTTAGCATATCGACCCTTTGTGCGCAACATAGAAGCAAGGCTTACACTAGTGTCCTATGATGATCTTTTCTCCCTACTCGTTGAGTGAAGAAGTGCAACTCACATGCCATGAACATCCATCGAAATAATGCTTCCAACGACAAAATTCTCTCGCCCGAGGATTCAATCCCTCACGTGGAAGAGGCCGCTATCGTGGTAGAAACAAAGGACCTAGTTTTGGTAGATCCCAATCCACATACCCCACCACGGATAGAAATAATAGCACCTCAAATACTTGCTACAATTGCAAAGGTATTGCCACCCAATGTCCCTCCTCAAAACAACGAACATGACGGACGGAACCCCAAACATGAATCCCACTCGACATCCAAACGTTCTAGCCCTAAATCTTCACAATCATGGGTTATTGACACCGGAGCTACGCATCATCCGATAGTCGATATGGAAAACATGGGCATTCACTGCGAGTATAACGGTCTTGAAGAAGTCACAATTAGCAATGGTAAAACACTTTCTATTACTTACACTCGGTTCCACTACCTTTTTCATCAATAATACACAATTTTCACTTGATAATATTCTTCTTGTTCCCCAACCCTCTAGCAATCGCTTTCATTAGTGCCTTTACAAAATCTAACAATGTTTCTCTTGAATTTTTTCCTTCTTATTTTCTCGATAAAGGATATCCACACGAAGCAGATTTTACACACGGGGAGCGTAACGATAGACTCTATTCAATGCTAATTAGTACATCTCCGAAAACCTCTCCACAAGTCTTTTTTAAGCTCTCTGTCTACTTAGCACGCTCGCCTTGGCCATGCATCATTCAAAACGAGTGCAAAAAGCCCTTAGTTAGTCCAATATTCATGTGTACCGCTCGAGATGTTTCATCTCTTTGCCATGCTTGTAGTGTTGAAAAAATTCATAAGTTACCCTTTTCACGAGTCCTCTTTTTAAGTGTCCGGTCCTTTAGATTTAATTTGCTCCGATCTATGGGGCCCATCTCCTGTTCCTTCTCTCAATGGAAACTTTTATTATGTTTTATTTTATGATTATTTCGGTAAATATTCATGGATCTATTTTATTAAGTACAAATCCGAGGTTATCAACTTGTTTTATCAAATTTAGGCATGTAGTTGAAAAATCTTTTGGCGGATCCATAAAGGCATTCCAAGCCGATTGGGGAGGAGAGTTTCAAAGCCTTGCCAAATACTTGTCCGATAATGGCATTACCCATCGGAGTTCCCGTCCTAAAACCCCCGAACAAAATGGGTGTGCTGAAAGGAAACACCGACATATCACCGACATAGGACGAGAATTACTCCACCATGCCTCCCTTCCACTTAAATTTTGGGAACATGCCTTCTCCACTCGCCGTTTACTCTATTAATTGTTTACCCATACCTCGTCCGGCCCATAAAACTCCATTTGAAATTCTATTTCACCAGTCACCAAATTATGATACGTTACGTGTATTTGGGTGTCTCTGCTATCCTTGGTTAAGACCCTACACTAGAAATAAGTTAGAACCTCGGTCCGAAAGTGTGTCTTCCTTGGGTACAATCAACTGCATAAAGGGTATAATTGTTTTGATCCTATCATAAATAA